ACCCTATTTATGGCAATTTGCTGCACAGGGTGATGACCAGTGGGAAAGTTTTTCAAATGAAGAGAACACAATCCTCGAGAATTGTTACTGTGATGTCAAAAATCAACACTCTAGTCGTGTAACAATAAAAGGATCTCTTTATCTTGTTAACTTCCAGGATATGACTGCTGTTCCAGTTTCATTTCCAGGTACTACAGCAAAGATGTTAAAATTGAGAGGGGAAAGTGGGTTTATTTAATATGTGACATTCAAATATCCTGTAATAGACAATTATGACAGAAACAACTTTTTTTTTGGGAGAGCACCAAAGCTACCTTCTGGTCCATGTCAGGATGAAAAAAAGATGATGTATAGGAAAATGGGCCTTAGCTAGCTAGAGAAGGCTTGGTATGTAAAAAGAGGCAAAATGTTTTCAGTCCAACCTGCTTCATTTTCTCTAGAAAAACATTTGAAAAGCGTTAGGACCAACCACATGAAATACAAAGAGATGCCAGCCTTTTATTATTGAATTAATTACTTTGCTTGGTGCATGAAGTTGCTTTTAAATTGATCTGACCATTCTTTTATTGTTAAATGTTAACTTGTGTGAAATCCATTATAAAAGAAACAGGTTTCAGCTTTTAGAAAAGAGAGGATGACCTTCTCTTGTGGTTAAACACTCATTTCAAAACTTTACCATTCACAAATAGAACTGAAGAATAACAGGTATACCCTTGTCTTGACTAAAGTTGGGGCTAACAGTTTTTATTATTGTTTTCTGTAAGTGTGTAAGACTACTGAGACTGTAATAAAGGTTCGAAGACTATCCACCATGTCATCAGCAGTTGCTGCAGCAGGCCATGTGTTCAGCACCAGATGGGAGTGGTACTGGAAAGATGAGAACAACAAGTGGCAGTCATATGATACTCCTGGTGATGGACATGCTGTGAACACAACCAGTAGTCAGTGTTTTGAAAGAGAGTATCAAGCAGGTAAGGTAGAAAAGAAATGGCTGTATGCTTTAATGGAAGTGGAAGAAAATGTACTTGTTTTGCAGAGAGACCTTTGAGATGTTATAGCTGTGATAGCAGTAGTCTTCCCAAAACACACTTATTTAAATTTGAATTGTTGTTTATACTGCTGTCCTCTCACATGTATATGATTTAGAAGGGACTTTCTGGTAAGCTTGGTGACTATGTAATAAAGAAGGAATTCAAGGGGCTATGGCAGGTAGGGTGGAGTCTAGGTAGATGCAGTGGTCTGGTGGCTCGTCGGTTGGAGTCTAGATTGAAAGTCTTGGTTGAAGTCTTAGCTTAGCTATGGTCTCTCTCTGTTCTTGCACAGGACACTATACTCTCACATACCCCTTTCTACCTAGGAATGTAAATAATGGGTACCAGCAAACTGTTTGAGAAAAATGAAAACTTGCAGGGGTAACCCAAGGATGGTGTGGGATCCCCCATGAAGGGGAAACTAGTAATACTTGTTGTGTCCTTATGTTCCTGAGACTAGAATAACCTTTGGCAGGATGAAGCTTGAAGTCTTGCAACTTGTTAACTTGCTTTGCCATGGAGCAAAGTATTCAAAATTTAATCTCTTTTAGCCATATATTAACCCTGTAACTATCAGAAGTGATTAAATTGTAACTTCTCCCTATAATATACATACTCTATCCAGCAAACAGGTAATGGGAATACTCAAACTTACCAGGTTGAAGTTTTTATCTCAATCTACAATGTAACACCAAATTCTTGTGTCTAATTTCCAAGGAAATGTGTGGCAGCTAGTGGGGAGAATTAAAATCATATCTGTGGAGTTAAAGGGTTTAATTTTGCTTGCTTGCTTGTTTGTTTGTTTGTTTTCTTTTTAGGGAAGGACACTCACCCTTTTAGTGCTTCTCATCACCAATACACTTTGAACTTTAAAAGATGGTGCCAGAAAAATAACAAGTATAAGACAGAAAGGCCTGTCAGAAGGAGACCAGCTGAGTTTGTGTCCAAACATAATATAGCAGATATTGTCTCTCAAAGGTGATTATATTACAATTTTGCAATGTTTGAAAGCACAAGGTGGGGTGGGGAGGTGTACTTTTCGAGAGCAAAACTTCAAAGATATGACAGAGGTTATCACTCAGAGGTGATTACTCTGCAATGTTGTCATGTTTGAAAGCACAGGGTGGAAGGGGTGGTGTACTTTTAAAAGCAAGATTTTAAAGATATGCCAAAGAAATTATCACTCAGAGGTTATTGTTCTACAATGTGGTGATGTTTGAAAGCACAGTGTGGGAGGGAGTACTTTTAAAATGCAAGACTTTAAGATATGACAAAGAGATTATCACTCAGAAGTGATTATTCTACAATGTTGTGATGTTTGAAAGCACATGGTGGGGGATGGGGATACTTTAAGATATAACAAAGGTAAGTAAACACCTTCAAACTGGAATTTGTTTAGAATTAGTCTGCAAAGAAACTATTTTAATTTGAAACCCTCTCTGTATTTCATGCAAAGTGAAGGGTTTGATTTGCCTTTTCTTTACCACATTAAAGATAATTTTTTCATGGAGCAGTTAACATGTGAAATAGCCCTACCATGATATGAATATACAGCTGTTTTGAGAAAGTTTGTCGAAAAAAGAAAGGTGTAAAAGTGCACGCAATGCCTGGGTAGTTTTCAGGTCGTGGTTCCTTGATACAGGATTTCAGAATCCTAGAAAACGTCACTGAAAAGGAATAGCGGGTTGATGAATCTATCTATTTATTTGAATTGTTAAAATTTACTGATTCCTGAATGCCTAGACTACCTTTCGAGATCGTTGTGTGCACTTTTGTGCTTTAATCCAACAACCTTTCTTGAAACAACTGTATTAAATCAACATAATGTTTCTTTCCTTCACATAGGGTAATTTTAATAAGCCTGTTCCAGGGTAAAGTTGGTGATTTTTACTTTCTTTATTAGGCGTAAAGCAGTCAGTATGGCCCGACCATCCACTTCGGCAGAGGCGGACAGGGTGCCATCCCACTGGTCTTCTATTCCTGATGGCAAGGATTACTCATGTGAACGTTTGTCAACCATCACTGAAGAATACAAGAAGACAGAGAAGAGATTCAATGATTCAATGGAAAAGAGCCACAAAATTGTCTCCATAGAGCGAGTGCAGAACCTGGAACTGTGGATTCAATATGCACAGTAAGTTACGAGTTGAAGGACATAGGATAGGCTTGATGGCTTCTTTTGTTTAACCCTTTGGCACCTAAAAGTGACTAACATTTAATTTCTCCTCACAATATCACCCCTGAATCAAACATGAAGGTGACGAGAATTAAGAAGGTGATCACCAACTAAAGAGGCTCTTGATTGTTCAACAAATTCTCCTCATCAGCACCATAGGAAGTGTGTAGAGAACAGTAAGGAGGACATGCATACTGATGCTACAGTGTAAAGGGTTAAGTGGTTCGTCTATTTCCATTGCCGCCATTTGATAGTTTTTTTGTTTTAATTCCGCTAAGTGAAGGAAATCGTTTAGCTCATTTTCAGTCTTGTGGCACTCTAAGATGATATGACAGAATGATTTTTTAACTGGTAGATTCCACGTTATGGTGCGTCTGTTCAGTAATAGATCACAGTTGACGACAAAATGTGCTGAGAACAAAAACTATTGTTGCTGACGTTCTTACCACATTTTGACGTCTTCTGTGATCAATTACTGAACAGACCCACAGCAACATTGAATCTATTTGTTTTATGTAATGAAAAAGCAAAATGCAGTTAATGATGACCAATCAAAATGCACGTAGAATTCGGCTTATCATCTGGGTTAAGATTTTGCCAAAAGTTAGAGAGACAAAAGCTCAAAAAGGTGGCACCAAGTATCTTACACAAGATTGCTGAACGTATTTTTACATCCTCTTTTTTCCTTCGTGATTTGTAGGAAGAAGGGCCGCATGGCTAAGAAAAGCGGCAAAGAGCCCGAAGAACGCCAACTCTTCCATGGAACAAAACCCGACACTGTCAAAGCAATCTGCCAACAGGGAATCGACTGGCGAATGTGTGGAAAACATGGTACAGCTTATGGCGAGGGAAGTTATTTTGCTTCTAGTGCTAAGTATTCTCACCGTTATTCTAATCACGGTGTTACTCGTGGTAATAAGCAGATGTTCTTGGCTAAGGTTCTGGTAGGTTCTTTTACAACTGGAGACAAATCTTTTAAAAGGCCTCCTCCTAAAGATTCATCCAATCCACATGTGTTGTATGACTCCTGTTGTGACAACACAGCGAATCCGGCATTGTTTGTTGTGTTTGAAAATGGGCAGTCCTATCCTGAATTTTTGATCACTTACACATGATTTATTAACTTTTATTGTTTACCGTGATATAATGAACAATAATGTAACGAAACGTAACGAAATGGCACATCTTGTAGCCACCTAATGGATGGTAATGTGACCTGAGGTAGCAAAACGAACTGTAAAGTAACGTAACATATCAGTGATACTGCAAAGAAACATAAAGTACTTTGGTGTGAGAGTTGTATACCATCATAGTCAAAATGTGCTCTTCTCAGCATAAGTCGATAGATGAGTTCAAGTTCTTTATTTTCTTAATGTTTTTTGAAATAGTTTTCATTTACTTTAATGACAGTTTTAAATATTCAAAACAGATTGACGCCGTATCGTCAAAGAGGATACATTCCTCTCTAAATAAGAAGAGATAACAATTTGATAGTTTTTTTTATATATATTTACAAGTAGTCCATGAAATTTTGGAAAATTCCTTTGAAGGTGGGAAAAAAGTAAAGTTGAAGAAATAAGAAGAAATTACAAGTAATGAAATAACATAAATATAGTGGGTGATTTTCTAAAGAAACTGTGGTGTTGCATCGGTGGGAGAGTATAATGGGGTAATTTGGTATTATCAACTGAGTTGGTAATGTAAATTGGTCATCGTAAAGAGTTGCAGAGCTGACGTTTCGAGCGTTAGCCCTTTGTCAGAGCGAAACTATTCACTATAAACAAAGGGCTAACGCTCAAAATGTCAGCTTTGATAGTAGCTTTTACTTTTGGTTTTTATTGTTCAGTTTTCTTTATAAGGACATAAATAGGAAAGTAGGTAAGAATTACTACTTTAAGGAAACTCATTTGAGAAGGCCCTGCTCTCAAGTTTTGTCTTTTATTAGGCTGAAATGTCAGCATTCTCCTCGCCCCTCTCCCCCTTTGGAACACTCCCAGGGGTGTTGGGGCTGGGGGACATCTGGTCGTTCAGACACTCCCCTTACTGGAAGAGTGGTAACATTATTTCACCCCGACCTAGAATCTCCACTGACCTAGCACCTTAAACAATCCAATGTTAATTTTCAGATGGTGATGCGACATTTAATCCAAACCCTGGATGCTTTTGTCTCTCCCACCCCTTTATAACATACAATTCAAATCAATTGAAATGCAAGCATATTTTACTGCAAAAGAATTGTTTCACACAAACGACATTTCCACTCTGGGAGTCTTATCACCAGCTGCAAGGAGATCGAGCACCCTACACCCCTGTAAAATATCTTCCTTGTTTGCTTAGGCCCCAACTGATCACTGTAAAATTGAAGTTAATAAAATCAACATTAAAGGAAAGCCTTGTGTTATCCTGAGCTGAAATATTTACAATATCTTTCTGCTTGCTTGTTTTAAAGAATAAACTGTGTGTGTTGTCCCTTAAGAGTGACTTGCATCTAATTTCTCTTTACAATATCAACCTGAATCAAACCATCAAAGGTCATGAGAGTAAAGGAATTGATTGTCAACTAAAGAAGCTCTCGATTGTTATACAAATTCTCCTTGTCAACATCATAGAAAATGTAAGGCGAACAGTATAGAGAATATGCATACTGATATTAGGGTAAAATAGGTAAGGAAAGAGTTCCTCCACCACCATAAGTGATTCTATTTCTACACGTTGTCAAAAGTCTTCTGCTTCTCATTTCTTATCTTGGAAGTAGATGCTCCTCTCCCTCTAGCCTTTGGCTCGATGTTTTGAGAAAAATCACTGAGCTCGACACGTAGGCATGTTTGCGTTATGTTAACAGTTTATTTTTGAGAAATTCAATCTGTTTCTCCCACAGTGTATCTTTTATATATTACTAGACCATTTTCAGCATTCTTTGCACTCAGCGACCACCTCAATTTCAGATTGCTATAGGATCTCAAAAGAAATTTGATGAACAACGATCTCTCTACATACATAGTTCCATTTCTGCCACCATGAAAAAAAGTTACCGAATTAATTTTTTATTACACCCATTTTGACATCAATGGTGGTCCCTGTAATCTTATTGGCACTAATTGGTGCGATTAATTCACGAATCGCACTATTTTTTGCTTTAAGTCGCATCTTTTTCCCAGCCAATAGGGAGGCTACACTAAAAACAAAACAACCAATCAGATTTCAAGGCTTGTTTAAAGTAACCCATCAAATTGCAGGAAAATGAAAGACAAAGAGTATCATGTAGCAAATTTTGCAACTTTTGTTTCCAAAACTTTTATTTTTTCCCCCCAGAAAATGGATCAATTTAATTTTAAACCGGTTAGTACTCCATCAATAAAATATTTGAACTGACCAAGTCCTGTATTTGGGCGATTTCAAAACGGCTGTAATAAAGTGGTAATTGAACCTCGTGTCGTGCAATTTTCGTCCGAAATCATACTTGTGATTTCAAATCGAACTCGCGATGCGCGCTTGTTCGATTTTCAAATCATGTGTATGATTTCAACCCAAATTGCACTCCACTCAGTTCAATTACCACTTTAAACCACCAGCGCGCGGATGAAACATTTTTATTATATAGATACTGGTGAAATACCAGGATTTTTCCTTTTTCCAAAAAATCATATCTTCATCGCGCGCAGTGAAGATACTATCTTTATCTTTCACTTGTGAGGATATTGGTGTCGCCATGGTTACTAACATGATTAGCCAATTACATGAGAGAAAAAAGTGAAAAAAGTTGCCTTTTATGTAGGTATTTCATCAGTATCTATATAATAAACAGAACATTACATTGCCGCTTGGGGATACGAATTTTATGAGCGAAGCGAACGAGTGAGTGAAATTCGTATCCCCGCGCGGCCATGTAATATCCTCTATTTATAAACTGTGCTTGCCATTCCTGGACGAAATATTCATTCAACTCACATCTGGAGAAAGACGGAAGATTAATTCTCGGACACTTGTATTTACGCGGTGTTAAGTTACGCGAGGAAACGTTGAATCACTACGTTATACGGAATAGTTTGGGAAACGAAATATGGTCGATGTACAACGCTAAATATTGCGAAATGTGAACATTTTACACTCCTTGTGTGTCCGTTGCGGTTTCTGGTGATTTCAGCCATGAGAAGGCTAGGAAAAGTACAAAGTTTTAAAACATACATCTCTCGCTTTTGAGCTTTTTGCCATGAACGCAACCCCGGCTAAGCGGGTTACCCCACCTTGAGACGTTTACTTGGCAAATTGTCACCCCGGCCGGCTGAACGGGTTACCCTACCTGGCAACCCACCTCGGCGGGTCACCCCACCTATCATGTAAACGTGTTCAAGATAAAATAGGAAATTATATGGACAAGCGGGTTACCCCACCTAGGCGGGTTACTTCACCTACCACCTCCGTGTAAGTACTAAAACATGGAACGACCTAAAACCACCTAAAACCACCTAAAACCACCTACAACCACCTAAAACCACCTACAACCATCTACAACCACTTCAAAAATTTCAACAACGAACTACAACCACCTCAAAAACATCTACCGTCACTCGCAAACTATCTAAAACCATCTAAAACAAGGCATAAATTTCTTAAATAACACGAAACGACAACATGTCAAGTACATGAAATACGAGAATCGAACGAAACCTCCACCTCCCCCTGAAATCTCTTCTAGCTTTTGAGGTGGTTGTAGATGGTTGTAGGTGGTTGTAGAGGGTTGTAGGTGGTTGTAGATGGTTTTAGGTCGTTCCATGTTTTAGTACTTACCCTGAATTCTTACTCTCCCTGGTCCCATGTATAATCAACCATCTCACGAAATGAAATGCGAGAGCATGCCAATTATATTTTTTATTACCTCAGTAGTAAAAGATCTAAAGAACTTTGCAAGTAGACGTTTTGGTTCACGATTACGTAATGGTCCAAGGTAGTGTTTTTCTCCACTTGTAATCTCAGCACTGGAAATGTTACGGTAATTGGAGCAAAACGTGAGTTACTATTGCGTAAGTGGCACCACTCGTACAACTGCATGCTGTATGAATGCCAGCACGATGGCGTTCGTGCCAAAGGAAGATCCCGAAGGTATGCACAGTTCGCTTAAAATATTTCCAAGGATCATTCTTACTTATACTTTTACTAGACGTGAGCCAAAACGTCTGCTGGTACCCAGGGTAGAAAAAGCCAAGTCAAGTCAGTCTTGACTACGAGTTTTTTATTTTACTTTAATATTTTTTGTAACTTGATAGTTCATTTTGTAAAGTCCTTTTAGTCTTTTGCTACTGAGGGAATATAAAATAATTAGCATGCTATCGCATTTCATTTCGTGAGATGGTTGATTATACATGGGACCAGGGAGAGTAAGATTTCGGGGGTGGTGGAGGTTTCGTTCGATTCTCGTATTTCATGTACGTGACATATTGTCGTCTTGCCTTATTTTAGACATTTGTGCCTTGTTTTAGATGGTTTTAGATAGTTTGCGAGTGGCTGTAGATGTTTTTGAGGTGGTTGTAGGTGGTTGTTCAAATTTTTGAGGTGGTTGTAGGTGGTTTTAGGTGGTTTTAGGTCGTTCCTTGTTTTAGTACTTACGAACAGATTCGGCGGGAAAATTTGTGGTAAGGAATGAGAAATTGCGACCATCTCTTACTTGGCGAGACGGACACATCTAAAAAAGCGTCGTAAAGGTAAGAGGCTTGTAATAAACTGCTTTCCTAACACCTAGGGTGGGTAGCACTGATTTGAATTTGGGTGACATACACTCCCACAACAGAAAACCACAATGTTTACATTCTCTATGATATCTGTAAGTAATCTACTGTAACCCTTTCGAATAAGTTTACCTTGGAGTTCGTCGATACTATTGCTATATAGACGGTAAATTTTAAGTCAGATAGTTATTCAGTTCTCATCGAAGCTCGAAATCGCATGAGAACGACTAGCTTAGAACGTGCATAAATTTGTTCATCTACAGTGAACTAAATCACTGTGGAGTAATATTTTCCTTAGGAAAACAAAAAAAGATTAAACCTGAACCGAAAGTGGAGACACTTGCCCGAAGAATAGAAAGTTATGTGAGGTAAGTTCACACAAGGGAATTTTGGCAGCACCTAGATGGTAAAATTTCAGTTTAAGAAGGTTGATCTCTCCTTAATAGGTAGTTCTGAATGTTGGCATAAAGAAAAAATTTGGAGGTTGTTGAATGATTTCTATTGTAGTTTGAAATGAAGAAGAAATTGTAAAAAATATACCTAAAGTAATCACAAGTCCCAACATGTCTCTGAAAATATTAAAGGATTGTTTGAAAAAATACCTTTCCATTTTTTAAGGGATTTTTTGCACTTGTGAGTTATTGTGATGATTATCAAAAGTTGAAGAGTACAACTATTGCTGTGTTAATCTGAAATGACAGAACTCTTTGATTTATTTGTTTTCCTTTTTCAGAAACATGCAAGTAAAAAAGTTACTGAAATTTTCTTTTGAAATTTGTAGGAAAACTACGTTCCTTGCAGTAGTGAGGTACTTTCCAAACAAAAGCCTATGTATGATATGATTTTGTGTTTGACAAAGTGGATCCATTTGAACTGGGGAGATTAG